CAGACAAAATTATCAACATAAAAATTAGTTTGCCGTATTTGGTCAAACATTTAATTAACTCACCTCTTAATGCTTTAGCAGGGCCAGACCAAATGATTTTGTGAGCTTATAGGACAGGCCAGACATTCCCCACCCTTTATTTAGCTGAAAGGGGATTAATAGTCAGAATATAAAAATAATTCCTACAACTTAAAACTTCGTAAGAATGAATAGACCAAACAATTAAAAAATGGGCAAAGGACTTAAGTAGACTTTTTGCCAAAAAAAAGATACAGTGACTAATAAGCACATGACAACATCAGGAGTTTTTGGGAAATGCAAGTCAGAACCACAGTGAGGTGCCATTTCACACCGGAGGGTGGCTGCTTTAAAGCAAACAACAGGAAGAACGGGTGTTACTATGGCGAAACGGAGCATCGCGCCCTCTTGACGGGAATGGTGCAGCTGCTAAGGAAGATGTGGCTGTTCCTCAAAAATATAAACATGGAACCCCTCCAGGATCCAGTAATTCTGCTCTGGCTGTCACAGCCAAAGAACTGAAAGCAGGTTTCAAACAATCGTGTACACATACCATAGCGGCGTTGCCCCCAATAGCCAAAAGGGCAACCGGCTGCCCATCGGCGAATGAAGGCACAAGACCCAGCGGACCCATACGCTGGGACAGTGTCCCGCCTGCCAAAGAAGGCAGTTCCGACGCATGTTGCAAGCTGGGCGAACCTGGAAGACACGCAGTGTGACTCCTCTTGTGAGAGCCCAGAGTCGCTGGCTCTGATGTCAGCCAGCAGGCCATGTCTTGGGTGCAGTGTCGTGGCGACCCAGATGAGGATCTCCACAGGTCCTTTGCTTTCAGCGGCCTCTCACCCTGACACAGGCCCCAGCGTTTAGTCCATTAAGAAAAGCATGGGAATGTGTGCCTGCTGTTAGTTTCATGGCTGTTCTTTTGTTAATTTTTTCAAAATCCTCATTCCTGGAGGATGTCCTAGTATAAGCAAAATGATATGATAACTGAGCTTAAGCTTTATGGACTTGCAGAATATTGAGTTTCAACTGAATAAAAAGTGCCACATGAACAATGACCACTGAGAGTCCAGAGGCGCTATTTTGACCAATCTACCTTAAACTTTGTATAGAACGCCAAGAGGAGTAATTCCCTAGCGCCGTGCTTGTCATGCTGACTGTCTCTGGAAGCTCCGCCTCTCCTGGCAGCCCCGCAGCTGCCGGAGTGAACCCGCTCTCCGCATCCCCCGTCCTCACCAGCATCCTTGGAAGCACCATCAGTATCTTCTCCGAGCAGCTCGCCCCTCAGTTCTCAGATCTGCCTTTACTGCTCTGAGCAACAGCATCCTACGGATAGATTGACATGTGTCAGTGCTTCGCGTCTTTTCAGACGTGTCCTGCCATACGAGTAAGACACATGGACTCACCATTTCTGCTGCTTGGGCAGCGTAAACGGAGGGAATAGCAACTGCACTTCCGAGAAGCTGCACTCTTCGTGTTGATGTCAAAGAGCAGTCCCTGTTGAAAATGTCAGCCTTAATCACCTGTATTTTCTTACCTTTTAAAATATATATATTTTTTTATTGATTTCGGAGAGGAAAGGAGAGAGAGAGAAACATCAATGCTGAGAGAGCACCAATGATCGGCTGCCTCCTGCACACCTCACACTGAGGATGGAGGTGCCCTGACCTCCTGGTCGATGCTCAATCACTGATCCACACTGGCCAGACTTAAACACCCATATTTTCTAAGTATTGGTCAGGATTCTTAATATGATTGCTGAAACCACATCCTTCCAGTGAGCAGGCTTTGGCTGGAAAACAGGTGGGGGTGGCTGACTCCCCGAAGGGAATATGATTCTTGAAACTGTGGTCTTTATTTTTCATTTTTCTGATGTTGACTGAGGTAAGAAGAGCGGCTGCCTTCCTTTGGAAGGTCTAGAGGTGGAGCAGCGGTGAGTGGCTCACTATCAGGCAGAAGTTGGTTTTTGTATGGAATCACCTTCCCAGTTTTAATTGTCATTAGTAATAATGCAGAAAAAAGGTGTAAACTTTGTGGCCAACCCGGACACTTGAGCTTGTGTGCATTATCTCCTCTGAAACTTAGCAATCAGCCATTCCTTGTCTCCGGGCCACCAGGGCCTGGCCTGCTACTCTAAGGACAAGGTCTAGACGAATTTTAACAGGGTCCCTGTTTCATATTGAAGCTACCAATAGTGCCTACTCTTTAAAAAAATTTTTTTTTTAATTTAAAATATTTTTAGGATATATTTTTGTTGTTGACAGTATTACAGATGTCTGCCATTCTTCCCCTTTCACTCCCCTCCATCCAGTCCCCAATCCCCCACCCAGGTCTTCACCACTCCATTGCCCATGTCCATGGGCTATGCATATCTTTCTATATAAAAAGGCAGTGACTGTGATGATTGAAATGACGGCTCGACCAGTCACCATGCAGTGCTAGCATAGATGCACAGACACAGGTAAAGTCTATGAGTGAACTAAGAACGAACAAGACAAATGCTTGCCTTCACGGAGCTCGCACTGTAAGAAGGTTAGGTCAGGGATGAGACCAGCACAGACCTGAGGTGCCGCTTCTCAGAGCGGCCAGAGATACATCTGGTGGCAGACTGGGGGCGTGACTGAAGGGTTGGTGCCAATGTGAAGACGGGGCCGTTCTGGATTTCTCAGAGGAGCCAATGGCTGCCTAGGAGGTAGAGCTTTTGATGCTGACTAGAATAGAAACTGACCAATCAGAACCTAATCTGGGTGAAGGCAGAATCTACAGTGGGGGCTGAAGAGGGATTTCAAGGGCAACAGCTGTTTGGTGTAAGGTGTAAGAAAGCAGTTCAATTTTTTAATGACCGGTTTGGCAGTATAGTGCATATGGCTGGCTATCAGTCCAAATATAGGGGTTATGTATTTTTTTTTTTTGGCCAAGAGCATCTCCTGCTGAAAAAAGCTTTATCCTCCCATTTAAGCAATCCTATCCTATATAATGATATTACTAAAAGGGTAATATGCTAACCAAGTCAACCGGCTATTTTCCAAATGTCCAACTTCGTTCTCAACAAAGCCATGGTGGTGGGGGCAGAGGCAGTTAGGGGCGATCAGGCAGAGGAGAGCAGTTAGTGGCAAGGTCAGGCTGACAGAAAGTTAGAGGTGATCAGGCCAGCGGGAGGGAGTTGGGGGTGATCAGGCCAGCAGGGGAGGGAAGTTGGGGGTGACCAGGCCTGTAAGGAAGGGCAGTTAGGGGCATTAGGCAGGTGAGTGGTTAGGAGTCGATGATCCTGGATTGTGAAAGGGCTGTCCAACTGTCGGTCACCTAAACTGACAGTTGGACATCTCCCAAGGGGTCCCAGATTGGAGAGGTGCAGGCTGGGCTGAGGGACATACACACCCCATGCACGAATTTTGTGCACTGGGCCTTTAGTAAGTATATAAGTTCTTTGATTTATCTCTTCCTGTCCCCCAATTCCACATTGAGGTATGTCAGTCTGTTCCATGCCGCTCTGTCTTATTTTGTTGGTCAGTTCATTTTGTTCATTAGATTCTACAAATAAATGAAATCCTTTAATATTTTTAATATTTCTTTTTCTCTTATTGGCTTATTGCCTTAGCATAATGGTCTCCAGCTCCCTCCATAGTGTTGCAAATGGTAGGAGTTCCTTCCTTTTTACAGCAGTGTAGTATTCCATTGTACAGATGTGCCACAGTTTTTAATCCACTCATCTGCTGATGGGCACTTGGGCTGTTGCCAGATCTTAGCTATTGTAAATTGTGCTGCTATGAACATAGGGTGCATATATCCTTTCTGATTAGTGTTTCTGGTTTCTTAGGATATATTCCTAGAAGTCGAATAGGAGTTCCATTTTTAAATTTTTGAGGAAACTCCCTAATATTCTCCACAGTGGCTGCACCAGTCTGCATTCCTACCAGCAGTGCACGAGGGTTCCCTATTCTCCACATCCTCGCCAGCATTTGTTGTTTGTTGATGGTAGCCATTCTGGCTGATGTGAGGTGGTAGCTCATTGTGGTTTTAATTTGCATCTTTGATGATCAGTGACTTTGAGCATCTTTTCATTTGTCTCTTAAGAATAGTGCCTGCTCTTGTCCCGCTTTCTCTCAAATGAGCTCCCAACCTCAGTGTCAGTGCTTGCACTGAAAAATAACTTGGCATCAAGCCCATTTTTATCAGTAACTGTCTGCTTTTATGTTTATTAAATTGGAATTAGTTCACATGTCATTTACTCTAATGATTTTTTAAAAGCACATGAGCTGAATTTCTCAGAATCGATGCGTTTTACCTAAGCCAACGGGCCTGTCCTCGATCCCCCATGCGTGGCCGAGGCGCAGTGAGCTGGCCCTGTGCACACCTGCTTCCTGCTGGTGAGGACTGGGTTGCATTCGGGAGCTCACCGGTGCACTGCAGGGAGCAGTCCGTGCCAAGTCTCTTAGTAAAGACAGAAGTTTCTCAAGTACTTCTTGATGTTAATTTTGTAAACCAACTAGAGGCCCGGTGCATGAATTTGTGCACGGGTGGGGGCCCCTGATCACCCCATGGCCAGCCAGGGGGAGGTACTGTGGGGGTTGGCCGACCACAAGAGGTTGGCTGTGGGAATGCACTTACCACCAGGGGCAGCTTCTGCATTGAGTGTCTGCCACCTGGTGATCAGTGCACATCATAGCAACTGGCTGACCGGTCGTTCCCATCATTCCAGTTGTTTGGTCCTAATGGTCACTTAGGCATTTAAAAAAAAAAAAAAAAAAAAAAATATATATATATATATATATATATATATATATATATATATATATATATATATATAGAGAGAGAGAGAGAGAGAGAGAGAGAGAGATTGAATTAGTTTTCCAGTTACTAATTTTGACATACAAACTTATGGCCCTGGTTTATTTTCATAAATGAAGAAATGAAATATTGAAATGTTAGACCTAACAGGTAGCAGATCATTGCCTGCATTTTCTCTCTCCTCCACTCCACAGGGGGGACACAGCGCCTGCCACGCGCCATTGGGATGTCCCTGGCCAAGGAGCTCATCTTCTCTGCACGGGTGCTCGACGGCCAAGAAGCCAAAGCAGTGGGCCTGGTCAGCCACGTCCTAGAGCAGAACCAGGAGGGCGATGCTGCCTACAGAAAGGCCTTGGACCTGGCGAGAGAGTTCTTACCTCAGGTACCTCCCATCCCACTTCCTTTTCCCTCTTGTTAGGTATCTTTATAGCTAGCTAACAGGAACAACAACCATTTCACACACTTAACGTCCTTGACTTGCTTTCCTAGTAGAGAAGTCCAAGGCAGCCACAGAGCTGGAACTAGTTGCTGTGCTGGGTTAGCATCGGCAGCCACAGAGCTGGAACTAGTTGCTGCGCTGGGTCAGCATCGGCAGCACAGAGCTGGGACTAGTTGCTGCGCTGGGTCAGCATCGACAGCACAGAGCTGGGACTAGTTGTTGTGCTGGGTTAGCATCGGCAGCACAGAGCTGGGACTAGTTGTTGTGCTGGGTTAGCATCGGCAGCACAGAGCTGGGACTAGTTGTTGTACTGGGTTAGCATCGGCAGCACAGAGCTGGGACTAGTTGCTGTGCTGGGTCAGCATCAGCATCGGCAGCGCAGAGCTGGGACTAGTTGCTGCGCTGGGTCAGCATCGGTAGCACAGAGCTAACCTGCAGGCGGGGGGGGGGGGGGGGGGGCCGAGCCTCGCTGCCCATGGTGAGGTGTGTCACAGACACGTTCGTCTCGCGCCAGGTCTCGCACCAGAGGGTTTGTTGTAAACAGTAGTGACTCCTCTTTCCCCGGCAGCATCAGGTGCTGCACCGACCTCATTCTGGAGTCAGAGCGTCCTCGTGACCTGTCACCCACTGCAGCAGCACTCATCTGTTTGGGGTCCCGGGCTCCTTGGGAATCGCATTGTACCCCTTTCCAGAATCCCTCACATTTGTTGGGAGCTTTGCTTCCAGTTTCAGAAGGTGTTCCTGGAGTCCTTTGCTGTCAGACAAAGGCCAGGTCTGCTGTGACACGCCTGTCCCCAAGGCTGTCACGCCTGTCCCCGGGCTATCAGAGGTGACACACCTGTCCACAGGCTGTCAGGTGACACGCCTGTCCCCGGGGCTGTCACGCCTGTCCCTGGGCTGTCACGCCTGTCCCCGGGCTGTCAGAGGTGACACGCCTGTCCCCGGGCTATCAGAGGTGACACGCCTGTCCCCGGGGCTGTTAGAGGTGACACGCCTGTCCCCAGGGCTGTCACGCCTGTCCCCGGGCTGTCAGAGGTGACACGCCTATCCCCGGGCTGTCATGCCTGCCCCGGGCTGTCAGAGTTGACACGCCTGTCCCTGGGCTGTCACGCCTGTCCCCAGGCTGTCAGAGGTGACACGCCTGTCCCTGGGCTGTCAGAGGTGACACACCTGTCCTCGGGGCTGTTAGAGGTGACACGCCTGTCCCCGGGGCTGTTAGAGATGACATGCCTGTCCCTGGGCTGTTAGAGGTGACACGCCTGTCCCCGGGCTGTCAGAGGTGACACGCCTGTCCCCGGGCTGTTAGAGGTGACACGCCTGTCCCCGGGGCTGTCAGAGGTGACACGCCTGTCCCTGGGCTGTCATGCCTGTCCCTGGGCTGTCAGAGGTGACATGCCTGTCCCCGGGCTGTCAGAGGTGACACGCCTGTCCCCGGGGCTGTCAGAGGTGACACGCCTGTCCTCGGGGCTGTTAGAGGTGACATGCCTGTCCCTGGGCTGTTAGAGGTGACACGCCTGTCCCCGGGGCTGTTAGAGGTGACACGCCTGTCCCCGGGGCTGTCACGCCTGTCCCCGGGCTGTCAGAGGTGACACGCCTGTCCCCAGGCTGTCAGGGGCTGGTGCTGGTACTGCCTCAGTCCTCCTCGGTTAGCGAGTAAGCTCTAAGCTCTCTCAGACCGGGCTCTAGTATAATCTGTTCCCCACGGAAGGCAGCAGAGCCTTACACCGGAATGGAGAGAAAGAAAGCAAATAGAAAAGACTGTTGCTGTAAGTAAAAAAGATTCTCACTGGACCTTGAGTAATTATATTTCTTGAAAATGTTCGGGAAATGTCTACCTTCAAAGGGTGAAAAGCTTAGGTGTCAGTCATAGTTTAATATCGGTTAGCTGCCTTCCCGGGCTCACAGCCTCGTGGCCCACCGCCAGGTGAAACGGGGGCGCTTGAGCCAGGCTGTGCCTGGTCCCGTCTGACAGATGCTCCCGCTGGACGGGCCCAGCTGCACTCCTGAGCTCCATCCTGTGGCCCTGTCCTCACTCCCTGGGGGCAGGCCGGACGGCAGCCGGGCCAGCCCGAGGCCCCAGCGCCAGACCGCCGAGCCGGGGCTCCAGAGGTAGGGCAGTGTGCCACTCCCCGGCCAGGGCCGCCCGCTGGAAAGGGGTGGGCATCTCAGTGAGAGGAGCTGACAGTTCTGAAAGGGCACTGCGGGGGGCGCACCGGGGTGCAGGTCCTGCTGGAGGCTCTGAGACTGAGACAGGCCTCCCTGGACATGGGAAGCAGGAGGCGGGGGGGAGACGAGGCGGGCCGGCGAGCGCCTACAGGGCTCTGAGCAGGAGGAGGAAGAGGAGGAGGAGGAGGAGGAGGAGAGCCTCTTCCAGGCAGACTGGTCCAGGGCCCCGCACGCCCTGGGGTCCTTTCACTGTCACTCAAAAGACATTGCAAATAGGCCACTGAGTTCTGAGCGTGGCACGAGCAGTTTCTGGGGACTCACCTGTGCATGGACACTGCTCCCATCTCAGGGCTTGGGCTCCAGGGACAGGGGCGACCCAGTTCTTCCTCGGTGACCTCACGTCGAGGGACTTCCTGGGACACTGTGCCCTGGCTGGGCCCGTTCGCACTGTGGGTCACCATCACGGTTAGTTCTCCGGGCCCTTGGAGGAGACAGCCATGTCTGAATGCCACGCTGCCCCATGGGGATGGGCGTCTGAGGATGCCGAGGACCCGTCCCACTCCAGGGGTGGTGTCCTGCCCAGCATGCTGTCTTCTTTCCTTTCCCCCTAACTTCCAGGCAGATTTGCCAGAGAAAGGTAAGTCCCTGAGCCTCCCAGTGTGCAGCCTGCCAGCCACGCCCTGCGGAGTCCGCAGCGCACAGCTTCCTGCTTAAGGCTCCTGCCCATCAGCTGCATCCGAACAGTCATGGCTGCCTCCAGGCCGCGGCCCTTTGAATTCTGCTGCGATGGACAGCATAATCAGCATGGTAGTGATTACATCTGTGTTTTTATTTTAATTTTAGGGACCTGTTGCAATGCGAGTGGCAAAGTTAGCAATTAATCAGGGGATGGAGGTAAGTTTCTTAATGGCTGCGTTTATTGTTGGAGTAGGTATTGGAGGTTTAATTTAAAGGAGCCGTGTTTAGCTTCTACATTATTTTTTAATGTTCTAACATATAGCTGTTTCAATGCCACTGTCACTGAAAGCTACTGAGATCTATTTTATTTTATTTTATTTTATTTTATTTTATTTTATTTTATTTTATTTTATTCATCTTTATTGTTGAAAATATTACAGACGTCCCTTTTCCCCCCATTGATCCCCTCTATCCCCCACCCCTGCCCCAGGCCTTCACCGCACTGTTGTCTGTGTCCATGGGCTGTGCATGTATGCACACAAGTTCTTTAGTTAATTCTTCTCTTCCCTCCTTCCCTCTGAGACTCCGCTCTTTTCTGTTATATATTCCCTATGAGACTGTTCTGTATTCTGAGTCTCTGGGTCTGTTTTGTTATCAGATTATTGTGTTCATTAGGTTCCACATAGGAGTGAGATCATATACTGCTTGTCTTTCTCTGACTGGCTTACTTCACTCAGCATCATGCCCATTTAATTCTGCAAACAGGAGTTGTTAGTTAACTCAGTATCATAACCACAGATTCGGTGGTTCCTCTGACGGCCTACAGCTGGTGGTGTTCCATTGAGTTAGTAGACTTCCTGACTAGCCCGTGGAGGACCAGAGCCAAGGGCTTCTGCGCATTCCCAGTGCTGGCGCCTCGTTAGCGAGCACGCATGGGGCGCTGGCCCTGCACTTGGCACTCCTGTGCTGCCTGCAGGGAGACACGGATCCCGGCCGCAGGCGTGTCCTGGGCGGTCTGGCAGTGAGGCAGGCTGGGCAGGGCAGGCAGGCAGCCTTGGAGTGGGTTGCACTTGCAGCAGTCCTATTGTGGTTAACTGATGGGAGTTTTTGAGAAAGGTGCTTATTCCTTGCCTATCCAGAGCCCACTGTATTATCCTGGGCTTCCAGCGGTAAAAAGAAAGTGAATTCGTTAGCAATAATACAGTTTTTAGCACTTGCAAAGTACTTGATTGGCTTTTAAAATTTTTACATAATAGTAACAATATTTAAGTAGCAAACACCTTATGTGACACTGGCTGTGTGCCCTTGCCGTTTCACACACACACACACACACACACACACCTCATTTTATTGCAATTTATTGCACTTCACAGATAATTGCATTTCCATCAACAGCCAGGCAAGACCCTCCAGCAGCACAGACGTGAGGACTCACTGAAGGCTCAAGCGATGGCTAGCGTTTTTAGCATTGAAGTATGTCTTAATGAAGGAATGCATATTATTGTTTTAGACATAGTGCAATTGCACACTTAATGGGACTACAGTGTAGTGTGAACCTAACTTTCGTAGGTGGTGGGAAACCAAAACACTGCGACTTCATTGTGGTGTGTGCTTTATTGCTGTGAACGGGAGCGGGCCTGCACATCTGCGCGTTCCACCTGTGTATCTGGGTACCTCACCCACTAGCACCTCGATGGGTAGGAACTATGGTAGCCCTCTGCGCAGAGCGGTGAAAACCTCCCCCGGCCACGCAGCTCCCAGTGGTGGGGCACCCTTAACCAGGCGAAGGTCCCAAAGGCCCCTGCGGTCTTCCTGTGGTCTGCCACGTGGCCTCAAAGGCTCTGCACTCGGGAAAGGGCGTGCATTTGAGTTCACATTGAGTGCCGTGCTTTCAAAAGGAATCCTGCTGATGTGAACTGTTTTGTCCGTAGGTCGATTTGGTAACAGGGCTGGCCATCGAGGAAGCCTGCTATGCTCAGGTATGTACAGAGTCGCAGTCAGTGCGTTCGATAAGTCAGGTGAATTACACGGGCTGGCCCACCACTCTCCCCACTCTAATCACACAATCCAGATTGTTTCTATTGAGTGTTTCCCGCTCTTCTGGTTGGTTCTGTTCACAAACCAATGGCTCTTGTCTACATAACTCAGAAGACTCTTAGGACAATTGTGCTAGAGCTGTCTCTCTGGCTCGGGCTGTGCTTGTGGGTGAGACTGGAACCCTCACTGCGGGTGCGAGGAGAGGCGGGGGGCGGGTGCGAGGAGAGGTGGGAGGTGGGTGTGAGGAGAGGCGGGAGGCGGGTGCGAGGAGAGGCGGGAGGCGGGTGCGAGGAGAGGCGGGAGGCGGGTGCGAGGAGAGGCGGGAGGCGGGTGCGAGGAGAGGCGGGAGGCGGGTGCGAGGAGAGGCGGGAGGCGGGTGCGAGGAGAGGCGGGAGGCGGGTGTGAGGAGAGGCGGGAGGTGGGTGTGAGGAGAGGCGGGAGGCGGGTGTGAGGAGAGGTGGGAGGCGGGTGCAGTGCGGTGCCAGCCTCGGAACATCGGTGGTGAAGACTCGCTGCTTTTCCTGCATTCGCAGCCTTCCCTCGCCCTAATGGAAGTCCCAGTTCCTATTTTGTACACAAATTAGTGGGACTTTCTGTGGAGGAACAAACAGTCCTTCCCTCTCCCTTGTCCCCCCTCGTACCCTCCCATTCATCTTCCCTTCCTCCTATTTTCCTGAAAGATGTGACTGTTTTAGAGCACCTAAAGTAGCAAAGCACTGTGCCCTGCCTTTCCTGGGGTCAGAAGCAGCCGCAGCTCCATCGGACCGTTGTCCGGGGCGCGTGGGAGCCACACCTGTGGCTGGTGAGCACACGCCGGGAGGGCAGTGACTGCAGGCCTCGCACGGAGACTCTGAGGCCCAAGGAAAGCTTAAAGCATATTTGGCCACAAATCACACCTAAAAATGTAAAGAAACAGAAATCCTACCAAGTGCTCTGCCAGACCACAGTGGAATTAAACTAGCAATAGAGGTAGAAAATCTTTAATGAAGGTTAAGCAAGGCACATGTGTCAAAGAAGTCTCAAGAGAAATTCAGATGTTGCTGAACTGAATCAAAATAAAAATGAAATTTATCAAAATTTGTGGCAATGCATTGAAAGCAATTGCTTTGAGAGAATTTGTAGCACTGAATACATATATTATAAAAGAAGAAATATCTAAATCATTAAGTTTCCATTTTATAATTAAGAGCAAGTTAAATGTAAGCAGAAGAAAAAATAAACTTTAGAGCAGAAATCAATGAAAATAGAAAAACAATAGAAAAATATTTTAAAAAAACAAAAGTTGGTTCTTTATAAAACTCTATAATATTGATAAACTTCTAGCCATGAAACCCAGGATAAAAGAGAGAAGATAAAAATTGCCAACCTCAGAAAGGCAAGAAGATCCATCACTCCAGATCCCATGGACACTAAGGAACATAAAGGGATGCTGTCAACAGCTCTTTGCCCCAAAATTTGGTTACTTAGGTAAAATGGACCAATTCCTTGAAATATACAGAATACCTGAATTCACACAAGGAGAAATCTTCTGAGTAGTACGTTTGTTAAAGAAATTAAATCAATAATTTACCTTCCAAAATAGGAAGCACCAGACCCAGGTGGTTTCACTAGTGAATTCTTTCTGACATTTAAGAATGAAATTATATCAGGTCTTTTTCAGAAAATAGAAGCAGAAAGAATACTTTCTGAAACTTATTCTATGAGAGCAGTATTGCCTTGACACCAAAACCAAAGAAATTACAAAAAAAGGAAAACTGCAGACTTCTATTTCTGATGAACACAGACATAAAAATTCTCAACAAAGAATTAGCAAATCAAATCCAACAATGTGTAACAAGAAGTATATGCCGTAACCATATATGCAAGGCTTATTCAGCACTCAAGTCAATTAATGTTATCCACCACATCAATAGACTAAGCAGGAGAAATAAATTATATTAATAGATGAGGAAAAGGATTTGACAAAATTTAACACCCATTCACCATTAAAAATTCTAAGCAAATTATGATTAGCAGGGAGTTTTCTCAACTTAATAAGAATGTCTACAAAAACCTTCAGCTAATATATTTAACTAGAGGTCTGGTGCATGGATTTGTGCACCAGTGGGATCCCTCAGCCTAGCCTGCACCCTCTTGCAATCCAGGACCCCTCAGACTGCCAGTTTTGGCCCGATCCCTACAAGCCAGACCAAGGGAACTCACCAGTGTGCAAATCTGTGTGCCCGGCCTCTAGTATGCATATAACATCTTTGGTTAATCTGTCCCCACCCTCTCTTCCCCCCCTCCCTCTGAAATTCATTAGTCTGTTCCATGTTTCCATGCTTGTGCCTTAAGTGTCTTCCCCCTGGTGGTCAGTGCATGTCATAGCTACCAGTCAAATAGTAACTTAGGCTTTTATATATATAGATGATCAGGAACAGGGCAATGTACCCTCTCACCACTTCTTTTTAGCATCTACTAGAAGTTCTGGCTAATAAAATAAGACAAAAAGAAATGAAAATTCACCCTGACCAGTTTGGCTCAGACTGAAGGGTCCTGGGTTCAATTCCAATAGGGGGTGTGCAGGAGGCAGCTGATTGAAATTTCTCTCTCATCACTGTTTCTAACTCTCTATCCCTCTTCCTTCCTCTCTGTAAAAAAAATCAATAAAATACAATTTTTTTAAAAAAAGAAAAGAGATGAAAATTGTATAGATTGGGAGGGAGGAAATAAAACTGTATTCATATATTACATGATTGCCTATGTAGAAAATCCCAAATAACCAAAAAAATCACACTGACTCATAAGCAAGTACAGCAAGATTGCATGACATGGGTTAATATATACAAAAGTAAGTTCTTCCCTGTATACCAGCAATGAAGAATTATTTTAAATTAAAAGCACAGTATCATTTACATTAGTACACACACACACACACACACACACACACACACACAAAAATACTTAAGTATAAATCTAACAAAATATTTGCAAGGTTTATAGGAGGAAAACTGCAAAACTGGTAAAAAATCAAAATTTAAGCCTGGCTGGTATGGCTCAATGGTTGATTATTGACCTATGAACCAGGAGATCACAGTTCCTGGTCAGGGCACATGCCTGGGTTGCAGGTTTAATCCTCTGTGGGGCTGTGCAGGAGGCAGCCGATCAATGATTCTCTCTCATCATTGATGTTTCTATATCTCCCTCTCCTTTCCTCTCTGAAATCAATAAAAATATTTTTTTGAAAAAAGATCTAAGTCAATAAAGAGATGGCCTATTTTTATGGATAGTAGGATTTAGTATTATTAAGATTTCACTTATTCACAACATGACTTATATATCAATGCAATCCCAGTACAAATCACAACAAGTTACTTTATATTGGCAAATTGTTTCTAAAGTTTACATGGAAAGTCCTAAGACCCAGGTTAGCCAACACAAGATTGAAGAACAAAGTTTGAAGACTGACAATACCCAACTTCAAGACTAACTATAAAGCTACAGCAATCAAGACAGTGTGGTAGTGGCCAAAAGACAGAAAATGGATCACTGGGACGGAATGGGGAACTCCGAAGCAGACTCACACAATTATAGTCAGCTGATCTTTGACACACGAGCAAAGCAGTTTTACACAGAGACAGTCTACAAAGCAAATAGTACTGAGGCATCTGGGCTTGCAACTGACAAAACAATGAATCTAGACGCTGGCCTTACACCCTTCGTACACATTGACTCAGAGTGGGCCGAAAACTTTAAAATGAAACACCATAAAACCTCTTGGAGATAACAGAAAATCTAGATGATTTTGGACTTGGCAGTGACTTTTTAGATATACCACCCGAAGTATAAAAATGAGAGGAAAAATCATGCTTGACTTTATTAAAATGAATACTCTGCAAAAGACACGGTGAAGAGAATAAAAAGACGCAGTCTGAGGAGGGGAGATCTTTGAAAAGCAGTTAATGAAGGATGTGTGTCTAAACATGCAAAGAACTTAAAACTCAGCAACAAGAAAATCACCCACTGAAAGGCGGGTAAGAGATCTGAACAGAGACCTGTCAGAGTAGATGTACAGACAGCAAGAAGATCTTCAACATCATAAGTCATTAAGAAATGTAGATAAAATGAGCTACGATCTGGCCATTTCTTACAGTTAGGCAGGATGTGTTAAGCAGGCCAGCCGAGACTGAGCTCCCCACAAAGCCTGCACCGCCTGCAGGGCAGCTCTATTTATGATGCCCAGACGGCCTTCGGGAGGTGATGGGTGGATCGTGGGCCCCCGACAGTGGCCTCTAGCCCACGATAACAGGAACTGACTTACTGCCACGGAAACGCATGGGAAGCCTGAGTGCGCATTGCTAAGTGCAGGACTCCAATCGAAAGGCTGCAGACTGCATGATTTCAGCTCCATGCCCGCCTGGGAGTGGCAGTGGGGCAGGCAGGGTGCATTGTGGGCCACCGGGATGTTTAAAGCGGGGATGTTTCTAGAGGACACTGTCATGGTGGATCCGCACACACATTTGTCAGAGTCTGTGAAGGATGCCACTCGGTGAGCCCTACTGCAAACTCGGGCCTCAGTCAGTAATAATATGTGGTGTTGGCCTCATCGGTTGTAACTGTACCCTGGTCGGCACCGTGTTAACACGAGAGGAGCTGGCTGGGGTCCTGAGGGAGTCTATGGAACTCTGAACTTTGGCTCAATTTTTTGTGTGAACCTAACCTAAACTTGTCTAAAAAATAAAGCCTATTAATTTTTAAAGTATATTTGAAGTGGAGAAAAACCATAGTTGGAATTAGAACAATAAATTTGGCCACATAATTAGGATTGTTCAAATGACTACCAGATTTCAAAATTTAGATTGTGTTCTAATTTGTTTTCTTAGATAAAACTTGTCGAAACTGCTTTCCCATTGTTTACTGTTTGGTGCACATAATGTACCGTCCTGTTCCCCTTAGACCATTCCCACGAAGGACAGGCTGGAAGGGCTGCTGGCTTTCAAGGAGAAAAGGTCCCCTCGCTATAAGGGGGAGTAGTCAGGCGGCGGCCTGGGAAGCCGGTGCGGCATGTGCTTCCGGACGGCTCAGCACCTGGTGGCCGAGCGAGGAGCGGCAAGCGGAGGCCCTGGAGGCAGCGCCCCGTGGGGGCGGCCACGTGCACGTGTCCCACTGCAATGCCACTCCGCCAGAGCGACCGCTACTGTCCCATCGAAACAGATCCACGCGTAGGTAGGCTTTTACGATGTTCCTGCATATGAAGCTTTCTGTTCTTAGTTTTTTATGTGAATAATGTATATATTGCACTCCAGGGATAATGTTGATAATGTTGATTGTAAGTCTACTGTGCTGCAATATGAAAATAAAATTATTTCTATAGACCCAAAAATGCGGAGTTATGCAAGTAGAGTTTCTAAGGGAGCATACACACATGCACACAAATGCATATCACACTGAAAATGGATGGATAGATATTCTAAGTGAAATGGATCAGATCTAAATAAAACTAGTGAAAAACAAACTTGGGATTTTTCTCTCAGCCCATTCTTTAATTGAACGAAACATCGTGTGTTGGATTTTAGAAGAAACCTGCTTTCCCCGCTGGTTCTTCCAGGTGAGCTCAGTCGTCAGAGACGGGCCTGGCACCTGCTGCTCAGCCTCAGAAAGAAAATGCAGCCAGAGTCCTGGCTTAAGGGTGCGGTGCCTCCCGCCTCCCCCGCTTCCCCCCAATTCCTCGCACCTGGTTTCAGGAAGGAAAGGAAGTGGCTTTCCCTCTGCCAGGCAGAGCCTCCAGACTGGGAGCAGCTGGCAGGTCGCGGTGGGTGCTGTGCCCGGGGCCTATGGAAGCTGGGGACTGGGGGCTGAGTGTGTGGGGAGGACATCACATCCTGGAGGTGCTGTGTGTGCTTCATCACACCAGCTGCTGCCTGCGGACAGCCCGCCCTGGAGGGAAGCTGCTCTCTGCGTCCTGTGCCTCAGTGAAGGCCCCACAGCACCCCCCCCCCCGAACGCTGTGGGGGTGGGTAGGGGCTGGCAGTTGGGGCACATGCAGGATGCCTGTTCCTTGCAGCCCGCACTCATAGGCATCGCAACCTCCTTCCTTTTGGAAAGCGTATATACGCTTAAAAACGCAGCCCATTAAAACATGATCTCTGAACAGACGCCTCTCCCAAGAGGACATACAGATACCAGGAGACATGAAAAGATGTTCAAGGTCACTGACCATCAGAGATGCAACTTAAAAGCACAATGAGATACCACCTCACCCCTGTCAGAATGGCTACATCAATAAATCAACAAACAACAAGTGCTGGTGAGGATGTGGAGAAATGGGAACCCTCATGCACTGCTGGTGGGAATGCAGACTGGTTAGTCACTGTGGAGAACAGTATGGAGTTTCCTCAAAAGACCAAAATTAAAAATGGAACTGCCTTATGATCTAGTGATTCTACTTCTGGGAATTTACCTAAAGAAACCAAAACGCAATTGGAAAGAATATACACTGAGTGGCCAAATTATTACGATCTTTGAAAGCATAATAATCTGGTCACTCAAAATATATATTATATATTAGAGCCCTGGTGCATGAATTTGTGCATAGGTGGGGTCCAGCCAGCCTGGCCAGGTGGAGGGGACATGGGTGGTTGGCCTGCCTGCCTACTGGTTGAACTCCTGGTCGAGGAGGCAATTTGCATATTAGCCTTTTACTATATAGGATATACACTGAGTGGCCAGATTATGTTGTTCAGAGATCATCATAATCTGGCCACTCAGTGTATGCCCCTATGTTCATCGCATTATTTACAGTAGCCAGGATTTAGAAGCAGCCCAAGTGCCCACCAGTAAATGGGTGGATAAAAATGCTGTGGGACATTTACCCAATGGACTGCTAGGTCATAAAAAGGAAGAACAGTCTACCCTTGTGACAGCATGGAGGGACCTGGAGCATTATGCTAAGGGGAAGAAGCCAGTCAGAGAAAGACAAGTGCCATATATTTGACGTAGAGTTTAATGAACAAACTGAACTAACAAGCAAAATGCAGAGACTTGTAGAAAGAGAGCAGGCAGACATCTGGAGTTGGGGTGGGCGGGGATTGAGCAAAAAGATCTCATGGACATGAACGACAGTGTGGTTATTGCATGGGGAGGAGGGGAGGCAGAGGTGGAAGAGGGTGTGGGGTATAATAGTGATGAAAAAATGTTTGAAGAAAATTAAACTGAGACAACAGTGTCTGTATCCAGAGGGACACGCCAGAGTAGACAGCCTCGGCAGCTGGAGCTGCATGGATTCCCTGAGAGCAGCGAGTTGGAGGCCTGGAGGCCCAGCAGCCACACAGTCAGAAGGAAGCGGGTGTGGGGGCTGCTCCTGCGCTTCCGGGGAAGCTGGCAGCACCTGTCTGTCCACACTGCTCAGGCTCAGTGCCGTGTGCCGCTCTCGGCGTCCCTGTTGCAGGAGGCGGTCCATGTCACCGGACAGCACACCGGCTCTCAGGCCACGTTCCCCTCTGAGCAGTGAGCCCTCAGGCAGGGCACCCGCCCGCTTCCTCTTCTGTCCGGGTCCAGCAGCCGCTCACGATCATGGCAGACAGACAGCAGTGACCGGGCCATGGCTTGGAGTCAGCAATGCTCTCCTCTGGATGTTTCCCATTTCAGAGAGATGTGTTGGGGTGGGGGGGTGGGTCTCAGACCACGTTCAGAACCTGGGAAGAGAGTGTGCGAGAAACCTGGTCCTCAGTTGAGCCCATTGAGGCGCTGGGGCCTGGGGGGCTACCGCCCGCTGAAGGAAGGCCTGGGGCCCCACACACTTACGCTGGCCGCTCTGCACGTGTCCACACGGAGGTGAGGACTGTGGGCAATGGGTGCAGGGCTACGGGCTGAGCGGACGGCTCTGCTAAGGAGCTTTGTCCCTCCGTGGGCTGAGCGGGCTGGACCGTCCCTGCCTTCCTGCTCCCCGTGGGCGGGGCCAGAGAGGCGCAGAAAACTACCCCAGGCGCCTAGCTACTACTACCGGCCTGGGGCGAGCGGGGCTGAGTTGTAAGAAAAGTGGTCATGCTGCTGACAGGACCAGAGGATCAGCCCATTTCTCACGGCCTTGGGCTTCCACATGGCCGCCTGGCCGCAGCCTCATCCCAGAGGAGGTGCTGGGGCCTGGGGGCCTGTGGGGGCAGCCATGGGGGCCTGTGGGGGCGGCCATGGGGGCCTGGGGGGGGCAGCCATGGGGGCCTGGGAGCCTGTGGGGGCAGCCATGGGGGCCTGGGGGGGGCAGCCATGGGGGCCTGGGAGCCTGTGGGGGCAGCCATGGGGGCCTGGGGGGCAGCCATGGGGGCCTGTGGGTGCAGCCATGGGGGCCTGGGGGCCTGTGGGGGCGGCCATGGGGGCCTGGGGGGGGCAGCCATGGGGGCCTGGGAGCCTGTGGGGGCAGCCATGGGGACCTGGGGAGGCAGCCATGGGGGCCTGTAGGGACAGCCATGGGGGCCTGGGAGCCTGTGGGGCAGCCATGGGGGCCTGGGGGCCTGTGGGGGCAGCCATGGGGGCCTGTAGGGACAGCCATGGGGGCCTGTGGGGGCAGCCATGGGGGCCTGTAGGGACAGCCATGGGGGCCTGTAGGGACAGCCATGGGGGCCTGGGGGGGCAGCCATGGGGGCCTGTAGGGACAGCCATGGGGGCCTGGGAGCCTGTGGGGCAGCCATGGGGGCCTGGGGGCCTGTGGGGGCAGCCATGGGGGCCTGTAGGGACAGCCATGGGGGCCTGGGGGGGCAGCCATGGGGGCCTGTAGGGACAGCCATGGGGGCCTGGGGGCCTGTGGGGGCAGCCATGGGGGCCTGTAGAGACAGCCATGGGGGCTTGGGGGGGCAGCCATGGGGGCCTGTAGGGACAGCCATGGGGGCCTGGGGAGGCAGCCATGGGGGCCTGTAGGGACAGCCATGGGGGCCTGGGGGCCTGTGGGGCAGCCATGGGGGCCTGAGGGCCTGGGGGGGCAGCCGGGGCGGACCAGGGACAGGCAGCCTCTGTGGGCCGTGCCCACGCCGCACTGCCAGGGCCAGTCCCACGTGTGGCCAGAGCGGCCTGGGTGCAGCGGCCACAGGCCGTGGTCACAGAGGAATCTGGGCCAGCCGGCGGCCCCCCTGAGCTTCTGGAAGGAGGCTGGGCCACTCCCTGTCAGCCTCCGGACGGGGAAGGAATGCTCCTTTGTGCCGTTCAGAAATGAGTGGTTGGCAGGCGAGAGTTGGGACCTCCTGCCTTCCCCCCACTAACGTTTATTTTGAGTTGTTCATTGACACTTTTCCAAAACAGCTTTAATGAAGCCTAGAATTTGCTCACCAGTGGCCACAATTTGAATGTTTTAAATATACAAGAAATGTGTGACTTGCCATAAAAGACAGGAAATGACAGCCCTGACTTGGCAGGAAGAAACTCTGATTCTCGGAGGGCTGTGATTGGCATTAACACCTGCCAGTGGTGTTCCCAGTTTGATTGGCGTGTTATGCAGTTACATTCTGTGTAATGACTGACAGGGTGGGACTTGCACCTGCCATTTTGCTATTTGTTTTCTACATCCCATACTTGCTCTGACCGGTAACCGAGCGGTGACCTCCAGGTTCACAGGTTGACTCTCAACCACTGAACAACACTGGCTGGGAAGTGCTTGTTTGCTTGCTTGCTTGCTTATTTATTAATTAATTTATTTATTTATTGTAGATTTGAGTTACTCTCTAGTGCCATTTCAACCTGAAGGACTCCATTTATATTATTTTTTTAAATATATTTTATTGATTTTTTACAGAGAAGAAGGGAGAGAGAAAGAGAGCTAGAAACGTCGATGAGAGAGAAACATTGACCAGCTGCCTCTTGCATACCCCCTACTGGGGATGTGCCCACAACCCAGGTACATGCCCTTGACCGGAATCGAACCTGGGACCTTTTAGTCCGCAGACCGACACTCTACCACTGAGCCAAACCGGTTTCGGCTCCATTTATATTATTGTGGGGAAGTTCTGCTAGTAACACATTCTCTGTTTTTGTTTATCTTGGAATGTCTC